TCTCCTGATAACTGATGATGGAGGAGAAGACATGAAAAACAAATCAGGCTGAATTCAAGTTCAAACACCACGAGGACCAACTGCAGGTCTGAACTGACTCTTTAACTTTGCTCAGGAGTCGAGGAAACACAGCAGGCAGTGAAAAGATCAAATCATTCACTCATTATATCAACACAGCTGCACAGTGGACACATGACTTTACATGTTTTTTTATATTGATGTAATGTGGAGATCATAACAATCAGAAGGAAACAATAATTGTATTCAGAGATGTTTTTTGGGGGGAAAAAAGAAGTAAAGGAGCTTTAAGTGTCCAGAATGTGAGAATAATTGGACTGTATTTGTTTTTATTGTGTTTTATTTTTTTAAACACTTTCAAGTCTTTTGATGTCCAAACTTCATTCTCCTCACCAACAGGAGTGAGTATGTAATCAATTAGATTGTTTGTTTGACTTTTAGTCTTTTTGTTAGCAATTAAGTATGCACAGTTTTCATTATATCATTTCCAAATTTCGTGTGATGGAAGATGCCAGTAAAAGCTCAAGCTGATTTAATTTTAGTGAATATTTGGTCAAGGTCACATCAAATGTGACTTTGAAACAATTTAAAATATTAGATTGATTTAAGGTGTTAGTGGTATCTACCGTTACACAGACCTTGAACTTTATATTACCAACGTTTTTAATGGTTTTTTATGGACCATTTTTAAAATCTACAACAATTTACTAGGCCTTGGTAGACATGAGTACACCACTTTGGTATTCAATGCTTCAAGAATTTGGTCAAAGGTCAAACATGACAATGGTATAAAAGCAGGCTGTTCAGACATGTCGTAATAAAAATGTCAGGAAAAAGTAATTAAAAATAATAAAAATAAAATAAATAAAATAAAATACAGGTTTTAGTTTACCCTTTTTACTCTTAGATGAGTTGCACTCTGAATGCTGTTATTGACACGTTGCAGACATCAAACAGAAGAAGGAGTAGCTATATACGCGAGAGACGAGTTTGTGTGTTTGTCAGCTGTTTGTGTGGAGTTGTTCTTTATGTTCACCTCAAATCAACCTGAGTGTCATTTCTCTTTAGTTCTGATCTCACTGCTGAGCTGCACAACAAACCAAGGTCAGTAACCTTCTTCTGTCACAGTTTAAACCTGGTAGATCCTCACTGATGTGACCTGATTGGGTTCATGTTTCAGAATCAAGCAAAACATCCTTTTAACACTTTAACACAGACACAAAAATATAACCGAGCAGCGTTTTTCATTTTAACCCTCACAGCTCGTCTGACTGTGAGTCCCAGCAGCTCTCAGTTCTTTGAATATGACTCTGTGACTCTGAACTGTGAGGAGGACAACAGCTCTGCTGGATGGACTCTGTGGAGAAATGGAAGCAAACATTGTCGAGGCCAGTTGGCAAAGCCAACCAGATGTCACATCAGTAAAATCTTCTCATGGGACAGTGGAGTTTACTGGTGTGAGTCCAGAGAGGGTCCCATCAGTAACATGGTTAAGCTGACAGTCACTGGTAAGCTGAGTGTGTGGAGTTAGTGTTGATGAAGCTGTGTGTAAATGGATGAAATGCTGTAGTTTGTCTCTGTGTTGAGGTGGACAGTGATAGTGAT